CTGGAGCAAGACCACGAGCGTCATCATCGCCTACGGACCATCAGAGTGCACCGTCGGCTGCACAATCAACGGCAACGTCAGCAGCACCTCCACCAACATCGGCAAGGGCACCGGCGGCCTCACCTGGATCGTCGACCCGGACGACCACGAGCGCCTGATGCCCGTCGGCGCCGTCGGCGAGCTCCTCATCGAGGGCCCCGTCGTCGGCATGGGCTACCTCAACGACAAGGCCAAGACGGACGAGGTCTTCATCGAGGACCCGGCCTGGCTGCTCGCCGGCGGCGGCCCCGCCCGCGGCAGACACGGACGCCTGTACAAGACGGGCGACCTGGTCCGCTACGACCCAGACGGTACGGGCTCCATTGCCTTCGTCGGCCGCAAGGACCAGCAGGTCAAGCTCCGCGGTCAGCGCATCGAGCTGGCCGAGGTCGAGCACCACCTCCGGGGCAAGATGCCCTCGGGCGTCAAGATCGTCGCCGAGGTCATCAAGCCCGGCGGCAGCGAGCCCACGCTCGTCGCCTTCGTCGTCGAGCAGAACCCCGTTGACGGCCCTGCAGATGCTGACAGCGGCGACGTCACCACCTTCTCCCCCGAGTTCAGCCAGGCCATCGCCGAGATCGACATTGCCCTCGGCGCCGAGATCCCCCGCTACATGGTCCCCTCGGCCTACATCCCCCTCCGCAAGATGCCCTCCCTGGTCTCGGGCAAGATCGACCGCAAGCGCCTGCGCGAGCTCGGAGGCTCCATGTCCCGCGAGCAAGTCGCCCGCCTGCGCGTTGCGCCCACCGAGAAATCAGAGCCCGAGACGGAGATGGAGAAGGCGCTGCAGCAGGTCTGGATCAAGATCCTAGGCAGCGAGTCCGCCGCCGCCATCGGTCTGCACGATAGCTTCTTCGCCCTCGGCGGAGACTCCCTCCGCGCGATGAAGCTCGTCGCCGCCGCGAGAGAGGACGGCATCGCCTTGACCGTCGCCACCATCTTCAACTTCCCCACGCTCAAGGCCATGGCCGAGAACGCGACCAAGGTGCCCAAGGAAGACGACGCCGCCGTCGCGCCTTTCTCTCTCCTTGAGGAAGGCTGGACCCCCGAGGAGGCCCGCGCCGAGTCTGCCAAGCTCTGCGGCATCGACGAGTCCGCCATCGAGGATATCTACCCCTGCACGCCCCTCCAGGAGGGTCTCATGGCCCTGTCGGCCAAGGTCACCTCGGCGTACGTCGCGCAGAGAGTTGTCGACCTCGCGGACGCAGCAACCGCAGACAAGCTCCGCAACGCCTTCGACGTCGCCGCCGCAGACTGCGCCATCCTCCGCACGAGAATCGTCCAGGTGCCCGGCCGCGGCCTCGCCCAGGTCGTCGTCAAGGAGGACATTGCCTGGCACATTGGCGACGACCTCCAGGGCTACCTCGTCAAGGACCGCGAGGAGGGCATGGACCTCGGCCGACCGCTCGTCCGCTACGCCCTCGTCACGGACAACGCGTCGGGCAAGGTGCAGTTCGTGCTGACGATGCACCACGCCCTGTACGACGGCTGGTGCATGCCCCTCATCGTCGACAAGGTCAACAAGGCCTTTGACGGAGAGAAGGCCCAGCGCCCGGCCGAGTTCAAGGACTTTATCAAGTACCTCGGCAGCATGGACCGCAGCGCCGCCGAGACATACTGGCGCGAACAGCTCCAGGGTGCCGCTGCCACCACTCAGTTCCCCGCGCTGCCGTACGAGGGCTACCAGACGCAGGCCGACTCTCTCCTGGAAGTCTACGTGCCCCTGAACGGCAGACCCGCGTCCAACACCACCGTCGCCACCGTGATCCGCGGTGCCTGGGCCTACGTTGCATCTCACTACGCCTCATCCAACGACGTCGTCTTTGGCGAGACTCTCACCGGCCGTAACGCGCCCATCAGAGGTTCTGACGAGATCGAGGGCCCTATGATCACGACCGTTCCCTTCCGAACCCAGGTGAACGCCGAGACGCTCGTCAGCGACTACCTCCAAGACATCCAAGACCAGACCATCCAGCAGATCCCCTACGAGCACACAGGTCTCCAGCACATTCGCCGTCTCAGCCCGGATGCCCTCGAGGCCTGCGAGCTGAGAACCGGTCTCGTTCTGCACCCGAGCGCTGACGACTTTGACCAGGAAGAGTTCAACAAGTACCCCGCCAACCGCCTCGTCCCCGCTGGCGACGCGGAGGCCGCGGAGGAAGCTCTCAAGTTCAACACCTACGCCCTCATGCTCGTCTGCTCAACGGACCCCAAGGGCTTCTTGGTGATGGCCTCGTTCGACTCAAAGACTGTTCAGAAGCCTCTCATGGAGAAGGCACTTGCTCAGTTCTCTCAGGTGGCGCAGAAGCTTTGCCAGCTTACCGACACGCCGCTTGGCGATATCGCGTACCTGACTGAGGAGGACAAGGCCGAGGTCGCTCGCTTGAGCACCGAGAGCGCCAAGAGCGTTCAGCAGGAGTACCCGGAGGCCGAGGCGGTGTACATTGTCAACCCAACTGACTCTGCGCTTCTGGCACCTCTTGGAGTTGTTGGTGAACTCGTGGTAGTCAGCAAGTCCGACTTGTCCCTCTCCACGCTAGAGAACCCCTCGTGGGCCGAGAACAAGGAGGCTGGCAAGTTCTACAAGACGGAGCGCCTCGCCAAGTTCAACGCGGATGGATCTGTTGAGATCACCGGCAAGACGAGCGATCTGGTCCAAGAGGCTAGCACCGCCACCAAGGCGCCTACTAAGCGCATCTCTGCCACGTCTGCCAAGCAGCGTCGTCTGCGAACTCTCTGGAGCCGTGTACTCAGGCTCCCCGAGAGTGATATCGGCCTCAACGACAGCTTCTTCCGCCTTGGTGGAGATTCCATCGGTGCCATGAAGCTCGTCTCTGAGGCTCGCCTTGCTGGCCTCACACTTACAGTCAACCAGGTCTTCACCAAGAGAACGCTGTACGACATGGCCAGCGTCCTGCAGGACTCTGAGCCCACTCAAGACTCTCAGGGGTCCCTGAAGCCTCTCGTTCCCTTTGAGCTGGTTGAGAATCTCGGTGATGCTCCGGCAGAAACCCTTCGCCCTCTCCTGGCCGATCCGACATGGAAGATTGTCGACGCCTTCCCCGCAAGACCGTTGCAGGAGGTCGCCGTCAAGGGCACGATTGAAATCCCTCGCTTCTCTGCTCGTTATGAGGCCATGTACTTTGAGAGCGACGTCGACCGCCCGCGTCTCTTCCAAAGCTGTCAAGAGCTCGTCTCTCTCAACGAGGTGCTGAGGTCAGTCTTTGTCAAGCACAATGGCGCTTGCCTGAGCGTCATTCTTGAAGACGTCAAGACCCCTGTCGTGGAGTACGAGATCGACAGCGACGTCGAGACCTTTGTCAAGGACCTCTGCAACATGGACATTCAGACCCGAATGCCACTTGGCTCCATCTTTGTCAAGTGGTTCTTCGTCCACAGCAGCAACGGCCAATCCGCTCTGGTGTTCCGCGTCTCGCACGCTCAGTACGATGAGATTTGCCTGCCCATCATGCTGCACCAGTTGTCGGCCCTGCACGAGGGCAAGCCCGTTCCCAAGGCTCTTCCCTTCTCCTCCTTCGTCGGTCACGTTGTCAAGTCCAACATCCCCCAGAGTGTCGACTACTGGAAGGAGCTCCTCCAGGGATCCTCCGTCAATGTTCTGAAGCCCGATACCCCCGTGACGGAGAGACAGCACTACGCCATCGACAGGACGTTCGACATCTCAACCCGCTCCAAGGACGTCACCATCGCCACCCTCCCCACCGCAGCCTGGGCCCTTACCCTCGCCCGCCTGCAGAGCACGCGCGACGTCACCTTTGGCGAAGTCGTTAGCGGCCGCAACATCGACTTCCCCAACGCCGACATGGTCGTCGGCCCCTGCTGGCAATACGTGCCCGTGCGCGTCAAGTTCGAGGACGACTGGACGGTCCTCGATCTCCTTAACCTCGTGCAGAACCAGCACATTGCCAGCTCGGCGCACGAGGGTATCGGCCTGCCCGAGATCGCCAAGCTGTGCACCGACTGGCCGGCCTCGGTGGACTGGTTCGACACGGTGGTGCACCAGGACGTCGAGCACGTCGAGAGCCTCGGGTTCGAGACGGCGAGCAGCCGCATGGAGACGATTTACCCGCAGCAGGAGCCCCTTCGCGAGTGGAAGATCCAGGCGTTCCCCCAGGGCGACAAGTTGACCATTGAAATTGTCACGTTTGAGTCGTGGAAGGGTCATGCTGCGGAGCTGCTTGACAAGATTGAGGAGACGTTCAAGATTCTGCTTGGTAACCCCAGGTCGCTTTTGTTTGAGCAGCAGTAAGAGGAGAGATTTTGTACATACTGTACTAAAGACTGCATAGATGGGGGAGTGCTGAGTGTGTTACCATTTTTGGTCTCTTTTATCTGATATCATTTGTTGTTTTGTTGATGTTTGTTGAAGATTCTCTGATTGGATGAGGGGCTTTTTCAATTGGTTTGGAAAATGCTATGAACGATTTTCATGTTGTTTTGTTACTCTTTGGAGTTTGGTTGTTTCAATACACACATCATGCCTACCATATCTTGCGACCCTTCCTCGCTGCTTCTCTGGTTCGCCCAACTTCCTTGTGTGCCGCCTACTTAAGGCAACCCCAGCCCAACCTGCATATGGCCGCTTCTAATAGCCTCAGTTTCCTTATCTCACAGGAAAAGGGTGTCAGTTTCCTGTTCCTCACACAAATAGGGCGGAAGGTGGCTTGCTTCGCCATCCTATCACCTTCTCGTCTCGAGGTTTGAACCTCCACCGCCCTTCAGACTTGTTGGCTTCTCGTTAAAGCAGCGAGAGACACGTTAGGAGGCTCTTCCGAGAGCGAGATAAGCCTGCCTTTGTCCCCATCACCTTTTCCTCCTTCACCAGCATCCACCCGCACCTCTTTTGCGACTCTACACCAGCATACAGCTCTCATCACAGCCTGATTTTCCCTCGCCGCTTCAACGCACCCCCTGCAACCTACCAGAATACCAACGTTACGATGTCTGACAACGTCACCTGGACTAGCGACTTCGACAAGTTCCTTGCCGAACTCGACACCGAGAATTACACCAATGACACCAGCTTCATGGATCTCCTTGGTCCTACTGGTTACTACGACTTTGACCACGTCGACGATGGCGCTCTTGGCGCTGCGGACTCCCTGGATCCGTGAGGCTTTTTTTTTTACCACTTGCTAACAAAAAGGGTGCTAGTCAACATTCTGCGTTTACCGTTCGCCAATTGACATGGCCGTGAGTCCCCCGCCCCTTTCCCCATGCCTTCTCTCTAAGTAAGATAATCTTAGTGCAGATGAGATCATGCGTCATCGCAGTCCATATGACGACAATGAGTTGACATCGTCATTGGCCAGCGCTTCATTTCGGACTGGACTGAAGTTCATGGAGATAACCTCTTCGGCTTCAGTCAAGCAGACTGTAACAGCACATCCCCAGACCTGTCCGGAGTGCAGCGAACATTTCAGCAGTGAATTTGATCTGGAATGGCATGCTATGAGAACAAGACACCCGGTATTTGCGTGTCTATTCCCAGGCTGCAGACATGTTTTTGTGCGGAAACATCCGTATGACGACCATCGACGTCAACACATTGATGGCCATCAGCGGGTTGAAATGGGGCATCCTTTTATTTGTGTTGAGTGTTCTGTCGAATTCAAGAACAAGTCTAAACTTCAAGAGCACGCCAACGAAGCACAGCAAAACCCCTTTGCTTGTTCCTGTGGCAAGAACTTTGCTCGGCTTGATGTCCTCAACCGGCATCTTGACTCCATGGGGAATGACCTGCCGAAGTTCCCTTGCCAGTTCTGCAAAAGTCACCGCGGAGAGAACGGATTCCGAAGAAAAGATCATCTGCTACAACATGTGCGCGGCTACCACAAGTTCGAAGCTGAGGGAAAGATCGAAGATATCATGCCTAGCCGGCGTGGAAAGTATCAGACACCTCCGGTCTGCCACTTTCCGGGTTGCTTGCACCACAGGGACGACAACTTCAAAGCCCTCGGTCGCGAAGAACAAATCCGCTCCAAGCCATCCAAAACACAATCGGAATACACGAAACACATGAAGAACGCCCACGACTTCACAGCCTTCCCCTGTACAGTGAGAGGATGCAGTAAGACCGGCGCCAAGGGTTACGCGAGGGAGAAAGATCTCATCAAGCACAGAAAGAAGGATCACCCTGAGGCGGAGACATACGTTCCGGCGATGCGAGATATCAGTATATCTTGCCCGAAGTGTTCTAAAAAATTGGGGCCAAGTAGTGCACCATACCACATCATGTCTTGTCGTCGTTTTGTAGGAATTGCCTAAGGGATTGCCCGCACTCTCGCTTTCGTTTCGCGGCTGGAAGCGACGTCGTGAATGCGTCTGCTGACTTGGAGAGCTGGGTTGGAGTTGCATATACTCGTTACTTGCGAGAGGCTGATATCGATTGTTGTTTGATCGGAACTTTCGTTCTTCTTTCTTTTCCTTGCCGTTTGATTCATCGTTATCCTGGTCTTTGTTTCGGTACGATTGATCGCTCTTAGTGAAATGTATTTATCGAATGAAATTCATATGTTGACTCAGACGTCTCTCGCAATGAGAGCCTCGGCAGCGTCAAAATCCCTCTACCTTCTACGTGAGAAGAATGCGAGTCTCGACTGGAAGTCCGATCACAAGGCCTTGACCCATTCTTGCTTGCGCTTGTATTGAATGTCTGAATTGTCAGGGTCAAGATAGTTCTACTATTCGCCGTAGTCTGTAAACATATCGCACCATTCGGGTATTGCAATCGAACACTGTCGGAAACCCTCTCCGTACCGTCACCAAATGAAGCTGTTCCCAGCCTGTTCAAGATACATCCATGTCCTGCACTCCCGAGTCGATCGCCTCTAGCACCCTCTCAGCATACCGCCGCCCCGCGGGGCTGAGCATCATCGGATCATGATGAAAACCGTCCCTCTCCCAGGGTAGCGTCCGTGGTGCCGGATCCGCGGGATGTAAGTCCCCTACACGTTGCGGCATGCCCTTATACCGCTTGCCGTGATCATCGACCCAAGTGAGCAACTCCGTCCGTGGATCCCGCGTCGGGGCATTGTAAAAGTCAATAGGCGACTCCCAGTCCGGATCACCCAGAATCAGCCGCGCGATATCAGTACGGTCGTCTAGCAGCAAAGCCAGACGTGGCGTGGCAAGCTGCTCATACCATCCTTCGCCCAAGTAGTTCACAATCCCCGCGATTTCACGGTCGCCAATACCCTCGATCCACCACAGATTCTGCGTCGCCTTCATAAACATGAGATAATGAGCCAAAATAACAAGCGCGCGGGGCCTCTTTTCCCGCCCGAGCTCGACGAAGCCCTTCGGAATGAAAGTGAACCACGTCACGACACGCAGGGTCATGATGGGCCCAAACCCGTTGACGAGCTCGGCGTAGAGGGAGCCGAGGTACTTCAGCGTGTCGTAGTACGTCGAGATATCGTCGTAGTCCGGGTCGCCGGGCTGGATGGAGGAGACCATGAAGAGCAGGTTATTGGGGATATGCTTGGCAGCCTCGTCGAGGTTGATGGGCGGGCGCATGAAGAGCTCCGCGAGCCCGGAATCCCAGAGGGTCTGCGGCGTAGCCATGTCGATCATGAGGCCGATGCCGCGCCAGACGACCATCCAGTCGATGATGTAGAGGTCCTTTGTCCCCTCTTCGCGGAACATTTGCGACGATAAGGCGGTGAGCAGCAAGGACGTCGCGATGAGGGCCGGGAAAGTTTCCGGTTTGCCTTCCTCGATGGCCTTACGGTAGCCCTCGAAGGCGCGTGCGCGGTAGCGGAGGGCGCGGGAGGGGGCGATGTCTTGTTTGAGGTGCTGGAGCTGGAGGGCGGAGGTGCCGAGGAGGCAGTCCATGAGGAAGGGGCTCTGGAAGGCGTGGCTTGGGATCTTGACTTTGAGGATGTCGTCGATGCGCTTTACCCTGCCGGCCTGCGTGGCGAAGGACGTGAAGGTGTTTGTGGTGTAGAACCAGAGGAGCTTCATGTCAATGGCATCCCTGTCGCCGGCGGGGATGTAGAGCGGTTCTTTGATGACGAGGGCGTTAGCGTCGTCGTCCTCGCCGCCGCCGCCGCTGCCGGCCGCGTGGTGGTTGTGATTGTTGCGGTGGTGCGGCGGCGTGTGAGACCGCGAGCGGGCCGGGGAGAAGGTCCCGGCGGAGGAGCCCGATGGCGATCCCGGTGGGTGGCGGTCGGGGTGAGAGTGGGACGGTCCGGGGTAGTTGCAATTGGCCTTGCGGAGCAAGCAGTTACGACATGTTGGACGAGCCTCATCGCACTTCACCTTGCGTGTTTTGCAGTTCTTACATCCCGTCCGGGACTTTTTGTGAGGCCGTTTTGAGTGGTACGGTTTATCCTCGATGTGATTTGTTGAGCCTCCTGCGGTGATAGCGGCGGCGTCCGCTGAGTCTGACTGTCCGGAGGATGAGAGGATGGTCATCGTGTGAGTGTATGTTTGTCTGTCCTTGACGGGGCCCCCCAAGGCCACCCGACTCTCGTCTCAATGATGAACCTGAACCAAGCAGCTGCCCTTCAGTCTTACGGCGTCAGGATTCGGGATGAGAGGGAAGGATGGCTACGGGGTGAAGTGAGATGAGGTGGGAGGTTGTTGGGGTGAGATGAATGACGAGTGGGGAAGATGGGAGGGAGAGAAAGAGAAGCTTCTCGGTAGTGGCAATGGGGTGAAAGGTACGTTCGTTCCGAAATTGTCAAGTGTGTGAAGTCGGGACGCTAGGTAGAAGGGGTTGAGTTGGTGATGCTCGGACCTCTACTTTTTTTTAGGGATGATGTCCAACGGCCGGACGGGGGAAGTAGAGATGTCGTCGGGGTTGAAACAGAGTTCCGTGGGCGGGTGACGCTGCTGACGGAATGAGACGCCTAGTTATCGGATGAAGCTTTAAAACACAGTCCCCCTTCGCACTGATTAGTCGGCCCGCTAGCTTCAAGTTTGTCTCTTTTTTGCCCCCAGGGGTTAGGTGGTTGGTTCCGTTGGTTCTAATATGCAAATGCCGACTTAAGTTGTGTCGGGTTGAGTGTGTGTGTGTGAGGCCTCACGAACAAACGAGCCTGTTGCTGCTGCTGCCTTCCCCAGGTGTTGGTAATTATTACCTTAGTTATCAAAGCCACAAATGGAGAGATCATTGACCCCACAACGAGCTGACGAGCTCTCTACCTGACTCTCATCTGACGGATGACTAGCGCTTTTCCCTGTTGGGCGGCACGAATCCTTCGAAGGTGGTGGCATGCCGGCTTTAATAAGACGGGCTAATAGAAGCCAGAGAAGCTCACCTCACAAGCGGGAGAGAAACGAACGCACCGCAACAGTACATGGTGTGTTCCAACTTCCATGCCGTTGACGTACCCAAACTGCGCCCGCGGGGGCCACGAAGCATGTGTGCAGCGGCAGCAAGAAGGGGAAAAAGGACGGATAAGAGGCTTGCGCAAGCCTTTCAGCACCCGGCATTACACACAAGTTTGTTCATTCTAAGGGTCGGAAAGAAGGGTACTGTGTATCCGTAAAGGCACTGCGCCTCCCACAGTACGCTTCTCCCTGCTGTCAACCCTCCGTGGGTTGCCCTTTTGAGCGTTGGAGTGGGTTTGGATACGGACATGTTTGTTTGACCTTTGGGGAACGTGGACATTTGACACTTGGCGCACAGTTCCCGGTGAGTGAATGAGGAGGCGGGGGGAGTTGTGACTTGAGAAGTTACCGGTACTGTGAGCTGTGAGGCCCGTACTGCCGCAGGCGAGCTAAAACTGAGTGTGGTCAAGTCTCAAGAAGTGGAGCTGCGCCCGGCACAGGGCGCCTGGGTCCCAACGCACGCGGGCCATTTCTGGTCCCCCTGCGCCCGCCGTGAAGAGGGGCCCGAGGTGGGCCGATGCTCCGGTCACCTGATTTCGCGTCTCAGCGGCTCGCAGGTCCTTTCCTCTCCATGTTACTCCGTACCTTCGTACGCGACACGGCGGTCTTGGGTTTCCGGCCCGTTTCCCCGGTTTTCTTTCTCCGGGCGACGAACGCTGTTTTCGAGTTGATACTTACTAAAAGGTTCGAACGCCAGAGCAATTGTCCCCAATTGACATGGCGTCTCTCTTTCAGCTCCCCGAGGAGCTCCTCCTATCCCCCTTATTCGAGCGTTTCCCCTGCCGCGAACGTCAGATCCGTTCTTTAGCTACTCTTCTCCATGTAAGTCGCCAAGTCTTCGATCGAAGACTATATGTGAAGACTAGACACTGACCTCAACACTTCAGCCCGCCGCCGCGCCCTGTCGCAACCTCATTGTCTACGGCACCGAAGCCACCGGCAAGTCAGCCATCGTCGAGTCACTCTTGCAGAACCTCTCCAAGCCCCCCGACGAAGAAACCGAACCCGAATCCAGAACCTCTCTTAGCTTCGCCATCGTCAACTCCATACAATGCATCACGGGCCGGCATCTGTTCGAGCGGACAATCGCTGCCGTGGTGGACGCGATACAATGGGAGGCTCCGCCCAGGAAGTGCGAGACGTTGGCCCAATTGCTGGTTGAGCTCTGCAAGATGCTAAAGTACACACAACGACCCGACGGCTGGCGCTTCGTGCTCGTCTTCGACGCAATTGACCGTCAGAGGGACGCTCCCGCAACTCTCCTCCCAGCATTAGCACGGCTATCCGAAGTGGTGAGTGATCATATACAACCCCTCCTCTCCCCCTTCAACCGATGGCATACTAATACCCTACTGTCCGTAGATACCGTGTCTAACCTGCGTCTTCATCGTCACCGCCCCTCCCCCCTCCAGCCTCCGCACCTCCTTCGTACCACACATCCAATTCCCAAATTACACCAAACAGGAATTCATAAAAATCATCTCGGCGTCCCCGCCGCCGCCGACTCCGACCACGACGCAAGACGACACAAACTTCCTCTGGACCCGCTTCGTCGGCGCCGTCTGCGACGCCCTCACGACATCGGCATCCCGCACCTTGCCCTCGTGCCGCCACAGCTGCGACGCCCTCTGGCCGCGCTTCACGGCGCCCATATTGGCGCGCACCCACGGCCCGCGCGAGTTCTCCAAGCTCCTCATCGCTTCGCGCGTGCACTTTCAGGACGAGAGCCTCCTGAACCCGAGTATCGTCTCCATCAAGCTCGGCAACTCTTCTTCTACGACGACAACGACGACGACAAAGGTGAATGGCCATACACCAGTAGGCACGCCCTCGAAGCACGCGACAACAGTATCAGCTCAGTCGACGGCGGCACTGATGAGCACCGCCACCGCCGAGCTAACAACCTTACTACCGACAACCACCCGCCTGCTCCTCCTCGCAGCTTACCTCGCCTCGCACAACGCGCCCCGCCACGACCTAACGCTCTTCTCCACATACCACCACGGCCGCCGGAAACGCCGCGGCGGCGGGTTCGTGGCGCCGAAAAGGGGCCGGCCGAGCAAGCACAAGAAGATTTCGCGCAAGCTGCTCGGCGCGCACGCCTTTGTTCTGGAGCGCATGCTCGCCATCTTTGCTGCCGTGCGGAGCGAGTGGGCCGAGGCCGACGTGCGTGGCGGGTTTGGTACTGTCGGCGGCAGCAGCGTGGTGGATGGAGACGTCGGTATGGCTATCTCGACGCTCGCGAGTCTGCGGTTGCTGATGAAGGTTGGTACGGGTGGTGATCCGATGGATCGGGGCGGCAAGTGGAGGATTAATGTCGGGTGGGATATCATTCGGGGCGTGGGGCGGAGTGTTGGTATTGAGGTGGAGGAATGGCTCATCGACTAAGATTGGGTTGTCAGTGTACGGATGACTTGATGTTTGAGACGGTGCATGAGAGTTGTTATGGCCAGGCTCAGTAACAGTATGAAGGGGACATCAAAGTTTTGCCAATTTTCATGAAACGTTGTGAATGTTCAGCTTGAAATGCATCGAGAGAATGTCATTCAAACGCCGGAGCCTTTCTTGCTTCGCGGTGTCTAGGTATCTCGTCTTGGAAGGTGAACCTCACCTGATGCCAGACCCCCCCGATCACATCTAAACCCAAGGCAAGCTTACAAGTGTGCGTGTTTCGTCCATACATTGCCGTCAACCCAGACTGGCGCCTATCATGATAGTACATTGACATTGAACTCCTTGCGATTCATTGGCCAAAAAAGACATGTTTTTACAACCCCCATCCTGCGTCCTGCCCCATCCTCCCTCTCTACCGGTCCCCGAACCGCCAGGTATCTTCCTGTTTGGTGCCCGGTGCGAGCCAAGCAGCGTTACTCGCGCCGCGAGCCCTACCGTTGCTGGGGCCGTCAGACTTCTTGGCATCTTCGCCATGAGGCGAGTGCCCGTTGCTAAACGACTGGAAGGCTCCAGCGGAGACCATGGGGCTCTCAAAGACGGGCGCATTCTGGCTGGCGTTCAAGGCGTCCTTTGTGTTGAGAGGTAGCAGGGGCTCCTCCTTGATCTCCATCATCTTTGCCTTGCGGTCCGCCTTGTCCCGGTCGTGGGTGCGGTCGTAAAGGTAGAGGCCGACAAAGGTCAGCAGGATGCCGACGCCCTGGAGAGGTGTGGTTTGGTTGCGGAACCAGATGATGGCAATGACGATGACGAACACGCGCTTGATCAGGCTGGCGACCGAGTACGTCACTGGCGAGACGAGGGACAAGAGGACGAAGGCGAGGATGTTTTGTCCAAAGTGGAATGTGCCGTTGAAGATGAACTCGATGGTGAGGCGGCCGTGGTCAAAGGAGCCCGCCTTTTCGTTCAGGTCGACTGCGCCGTCGTGGAGGACGTCGCCGATGATGCCAGTGCCTTCGCTCCAGAACCAGATTGGGACCGTCAGGATGAACGCCATGCCGGAGGAGTAGCAGAGCAAGTTGAGCTTGTCGAGCTTTTGCGACCGCGCCGACTGGCCTTCGGCCTCGGCCTTGGCGGCTTCGTTGAAGAGACGCTTCGAGAAGATGTTCTGCGTCACGAAGATGATGGTGGCGAGAAGGGCGTATAAGATGCCCAGGAGCTCGCCGCTGTAGCTGTTGTGCTTGCCGGAGCAAGCAAGCATGACCCCAAGGGTCAGGGGGACCAACGACAGGTAGGTGTTGACGGAGTACCGGATGTTAAAGATCAAGCGGTAAGCCAAGACGGTGAAAAGGGGAGAGAGACCCTTGATGGTGTGGACCAGCGAGACGGGGATCTTGGAGGTCGCGGTCGAGCTCAACAAGTGGCCAAAGATTTGGAATGCGGCAAGGGGCATCGTCGTCGAAATGACATCGCGGGAAGGGTAGCGAATGCCATGCTTGAGGGCTGGTATCGTGGTCTTGAGACTTGGAAAGATGTTGGCGAGCCAGGCGAAGAGGATGCAGTAGGTCGCCACGAAGGCGAATTGAATGAGGGTCAGCGTCGCAGGCTTGTCGAAGGCGGTAAGGATGGACTTCGAGGACGTGTTCGTAAGGGCGGACGAGGTGTACCAGAGGACACAGAGCGCCTATGATGCGAGCTGTTAGCGGCCAGCAAACAAAAAAAAAAACCAGGAAGGGAGCAAGGAAGGGAGCAGAGCAGCGTTTCTCAACAAGACTCACAATCAACCTCGGAGAGACAGGCGCCTTGAGCGCATCAGCTATCTCGTGAGCATTCTGGCCGACACTTCCGCCTCTTGTCCGTATGTTGTGAATGGCGTCACCCAGGCTCTTCTGCCTCCCGTGGCCGTACCGCGTTGGCACTTGCTGCCCCGGTGCACCCCATCTGACGCTGCGACCCTGGAGACTCTCCTTTCTGGGTTGCCAGCGGTCGCCGCCTACGGGCGCTCCTGGCAGCGCATAGCCGTTCGACTTTGCAGGACTCGGCGCCCTCGAACCGTTGGTGAGGTGGGAATCGATGTGGTCGGGGAACTTCTCCATGCCGCCGTTGCCGTTGGCAGAGAGGGAATCGATATCGCCGTACGGTCTTGGTGAGTGCTGCGACCGATTGACCGAGGAGGTTTGTGTTGTAGAACCAGAACTTGTGGAGTGAGGCATGACGCGAGCACTGGGGGAAATTTGGCGGGGACAAAAGTTCTTGGTATCAAGACAAGGTATCCCGTCTCCGTAAGGTAGCTGATAATGCTGGCAGGGTGGGTATGCGATTCTCGTAAATTAGGTAGTACCTCTGAGGCCTGGGCACCCCTCTGGAGATATCTCTTGTACTGGTAGAAAAACGAGTGACAGATGCGGCAATCATGCGCGAAGGAAACCAAAAAACCTTAGACTTGCTTAAGGTCGAGCATTGTCTCTGCCTTTGTGGAAAGTCGATTTTCAGATGGTGACGCTCTGATGGTGGGAGGCCAGACGTTCTCTCTCTCTTTCGCATGGGCAAAAAAGTCTCGACGGCAGGGCGAGATTTACACGTCCATACAAAAAGTCAGCTCCCTAAAGTTACTGGGGGAGCTGTCCTCATCTCAATCAATCGGAGATCCCACGGTGCTGCAGCGCGGCTTAGGAATGGCTCGTTGTCAGTGGCTGCTATCCCTGCTGAGCAAGGGGCAGAAACGCATCCCCCCACGGAGCTTCGCCCACCAGTACCACGGCATTCAACAGCCCGTGCCCGGGCACTAAACCCGCTGGAAGACCGGCGCAACGGGTTGGCACCTGCAGTTTGCACGGCGTCGTGGCATTGACGGGAGACACTTACGGCGCTGCTGGATGATTAGTAACGCCGCCTACCGATACCACTTGGCAAGCACTGGACGGCGCCGGTCCAAGCTTCGAGCAGTAAGAATACGTACCGTTCTTACCTCTTCGGCCAGGATTAGGGACAGACCCACTTAATCGTCAAGCAGCCTCCAAAAGTTTGGCGCGGCTGTCACGCATCGCCAGTCGCCTCCAGAAGGCTGTTCAGCATTCGACTTCCATCAACATCTGTTCCATCACATTGTAATCCTTCTCTCCAGCCCATTCCTGCGCGCCCGCAGCACCACCGCCGTTTTGCGTTCCCACAAAGCATGCGCCCTCGCATAGACCCGAAAAAATTCACCATAGCCGCAGTGGTCTGCTACGTCGTAACACAAGCTACACCAAAAGCGTTCAGCTCCACGGCGCATTTCGATTCAAGATGGCGGCCCCAAAGATGACCAAGAACCAGATGCGGAGAGCGAAAAAGAAGGAACAGAAGAAGGCTCAGACAGAGGTGCGTTTTTCGTTCTGTGTTGATGCATGCGCGCGTGATACTGACGTGGAGGACAATCAGGTCGCGTCACACACTCCAGAGATCAAGGACGACGAGAAGAAGCCCGAGGAGACTGAGGCAACGCAAGAAACAAATGGCAACGATCTCGAGGTTAAGAACGAGTCCGAGACCACCACCAAGGTCGAAGCCGATGGCCCTGCCGACGATGATTTCAACTTTGACGATGAGAGGTTTGCAGCTTTCAAGGATATCTTCTCAAAATTCGGCGTCGCGATAGACGAGGACGAAGTTTCAAAGGAGGCCAATGCAGGAAATACGGGCGAGGTATTGTGGGACGAGGACGATATCCCCAGCGAGGACGAGGAGGCATCCGGACAGACAAAGCTCTCCAAGAAGAAGAGGAAGCAACTCAACAAGCTCTCTATTGCAGAACTGAAGGCTTTGGTCAAGATACCTGATGTTGTCGAGTGGCAGGATACTTCATCCACAGACCCGCGCCTTCTCGTGCAGATCAAGGCGCAAAGGAATGTGGTACCCGTCCCAGGCCACTGGGCGCTCAAGAGGGAGTACCTTTCCTCGAAGCGAGGTATCGAGAAGCCGCCCTTCCGGTTACCAAAGTTTATCGCCGAGACGGGCATTACGGAAATGCGTGATGCTGTTCTCGAAAAGCAGGAGCAGCAATCTCTGAAGCAGAAGCAACGTGAGCGTGTTGCCCCCAAGATGGGCAAACTGGACATCGACTACCAGAAGCTCTACGATGCGTTCTTCCGCTTCCAGACCAAGCCGGAACTCACGCGGTTCGGCGAGGTGTACTACGAGGGCAAGGAGAGCGAGGTTGATTTCCAGCACTTCCGGCCGGGTGACCTGACCGAGGCCACAAAGGAGGCCTTGGGTATGCCGCCAGGCGCACCTCCACCATGGCTCATCAACCAGCAGCGATTCGGCCCGCCTCCATCATATCCCACTCTCAAGATCCCAGGACTCAACGCCCCGCCGCCACCAGGCGGTTCGTGGGGTTTCCATCCCGGTGGCTGGGGTAAGCCCCCTGTCGACGAATTCAACCGTCCCCTCTACGGAGGCGACGTCTTCGGTCTCACAAACCAGGCCGGCGCACAAATCGCACCACCCGTCGCCGCGCCCCTGGCCACGGGCGAGCCCGTCGAGAAGACTCTCTGGGGTGAGCTGCAACCCCGCGACGAGGAGTCCGAAGAGGAAGACTCGGAAGAAGAATCCGACGAGGAGGAGGAGGAAGACGAGGACGGCCCCGGCGGCGGCCTCGCCTCGCCGAGCGGCATCGAGACCTCGGGGGGTATGGTCTCATCCGTGCCGACGGATTACCCGGGCCACGGCGTCGAAACCTCGGTGGCGGGCGAGATGGATCTCCGCAAGCAGCGCCGCGGCTTCGACACGGAGGAGAGCTCGCACCCACGCTCGGCGTACCAGGTCATCCCCGAGCGGCAGCAGCGCACCGAGGGCTTCTTTGGCAGCGACAGAGTGTACGACCTCAACCAGCAAAAGGCAAACATGCCCGTTCTCGGCCAGGAGGACGACAGCCGCAAGCGCAAGAAGCCAGGCGACGTGGACGTCGCGCTCGACCCGGACGCGCTGCTCAACAACGACGGCATCAGCAAGGACGA